ACATTAAATATTTTGTCCATGAAAAGTGCATTTTCCAATCTGATATAAAATTAAATGTTTGTTTGTTTTTTATTTATTGTTGTTTTCTTTTCTTTTCTTCTATTATTATCATTATTATTATTATTATTTATTTGCACAGTTACAACTTTTTTCTAACCTGCTTGAGGACCTCAGTGTTCCACTAATTGTGTTCCACTGAGATAGATAGATTGATTGATTTCATTCTATTTATATTTTTTATTCTATTCTATTTTATTTAAAAAATTTTGCACAGTTACAACTTTTTTATTTCATTTATATATTTGTTTATTTATTGCACAATTACTGTACAACTTGCTAACATTTTTTTAAACCTACTAGAAGACCTCAGTGTTCCACTAATTGTTTGGGTTCAATTTGTTAAGATTAGTTGATCATGAACTAACGATGAACAATGCTTTTACTGGATTTATTCATTTAGGCTTGTGTACATTTCTACATACAGTAAGCTAATAAATTTTTAACATGTCCAGAAATAAATTGACATTAATTTATGTATTATGAAAGAACATGAATAAATTATATTATAAATATACATTACATTAATGAATAAATGCTGCAAACATGCCGTTCATTGTTAGTTTATAAAACACAAAGCATTAACTAATGCAAAGTGAACCTTGTTGTAAAGAGTTACCATTGTTGGAATAAACAGGAGTACTTAAATATAATCCTACCTCTCCTGATGTAATAGGTACATTACCACATTATTACCTGATCAGTCGCTCTCTACAGACTTAAGTTAATCAGCACAGCCATCTATTCTAATCATTCTTTGTGTGCCGTGGACACACACACACACACACATACTCACACACACTCTCACACTCTCTCACACACACTCACACTCACACTCACTCACACACACACACACACACACTCTCTCTCTCACACACACACTCACACTCTCTCTCTCACACACACACTCACACTCTCTCTCTCACACACACACTCACACTCTCTCTCTCACACACACACTCACACTCTCTCTCTCACACACACACTCACACTCTCTCTCTCACACACACACTCACACTCTCTCTCTCACACACACACTCACACTCTCTCTCTCACACACACACTCACACTCTCTCTCTCACACACACACTCACACTCTCTCTCTCTCACACACACACACTCACACTCTCTCTCTCTCACACACACATACACACACACACACACGCTCATCTCATCTCACACTCTATCCAGACTGAATCACAGTCATTTGAGAGGCCCTGCCACTCCGAACAGCTATCCCAATAATTCTTTCTCAACTGCACCTCAGCCAGATGCATTCTGGGATGAAGGGTCTTGTTATGCTACCTCTGCTTTGGGCCTATTCAGACAGAATTAGTTTTATATGGAGAGGTGAGGTTGGGGTAAAGTAGTAATTACATGAGCTTTTCCAGGATTTTGATCTTGAAGCATGGTGTCCAAGTCAGTTATTTTCCTAGACTGCACGTTCCATTGCTGGTGAAGATTACACTGTCTTTTACCTTCTGTAAAATGGCCTGAAGGAATAACCACAAGTAGTAGCAGTCCTGAGTGATTTCACATGCTGCGTCTTAGCCCTGAATGGGTTCATTTTTTTATTGGCTCTCATCACACAGTCCACATGCGTGATTATTGCCACCACGAGCTCTCCTAATCAATACCGTACAATCCAGCTGCCGATCGAATAAACCCATCCGCTCGTGTTCTCACCATCTCACTCCTTCACCCTCGACAGCCCTGTATTCTCATGCAAAACAGCCCAATTGATTTGTTATGTGACATTTTAACATGGCCACCGACAGGTTACCTCTAAATCCTTAAAATGCTTTTAAAGGGCTGCTAAAGACAGGGAAATGGTCAATGAAAGTCATAAAGAGCTCAGAGCGATCCATCTCGTAAAAAGACATGTTTGAAAGCATCATTAGCATCTTACGGTACTCTAGTGATGGGAATGAAAATAGGAAAAAATTAAAAGATCTCTGTTATAACAAAGCCTTCGATGCTGCTTTATGTCTCAATGAGCTCATCAGTTTGCGCATTAAACTGAAGTATTAAGTAGGTTTTCATAATTTTCCATAATTTTCAGATACTCCCCCACTTGAGTCTTGGCTGTAATTTGGTTCCTCTAGAGGCGGAACAGATCAGACCCAGACTTTAAACGTCTGGCAGCTATTGCTGGACGCTACCATTACTCAAGTATGCTCGCCACATTGACAATTATTCAGTTTCGCCAAATACTGCTGACTTTCGGTGTCATTTGTTTTCATGAAATTTAGAATATTCCCCTTATTTATTTCCCAGATGCATTTTGTTTTCAGCCTTGCTCAGTGTTATTCTTTGTTGCATTTATAGTTTTTTTTTCTATTGTACAAAAGCAGTGCTGAAATAAAATGAAATACATTTTTTGATCCAGCAGCTGTGAAACCTCATGCCACGATCGCCAGCACCGCTCTTACACACACACACACACACACACACACACACACACATACACACATATTTCCATAATGCTGATGATTCCCTGTGGATTTTATGGGACATACTGCCTCTACTAATTGGCACATCAATAACCCTCTCTCTTAATGAGCTGCATCTTACACACTCCTGGGCCTCTTTTGTACATATACATGAATTTAAAGGAATAGTTCACCCAAAAAATGATGATTTTTATTATTTGTGCACTCTCATGTCATTGCAGACCCATATGCTGATATTATGCTGTGGAACACAAATGTAGAAATATTTTCAAAGAATCACACCGCAGTAATTCATAGTGACCATGACTGTCAAGATCCCAAGCCAATATAAAATGACCATAAAAATACAATAAAAGGCGTATGCGTTACTATATTCCAAATAATCAGGAGGCATAAAATAGCATTTTATGATCAATAGTAAAAAATTGTCATCCACTGATTATATTCATATCCTCCAAATATAATATTTTGAGTTTTATGATGCTGCTTGGTTTTCTTTGTCATTATATGGCAAGTACTGAATAAAAAATATTTCTACTTGTGTATTCTACAAAAAGACGCATGCATATTTGGAACGACATCCGAATGAGTAAATAATGACAGAATTTTCACACGTTTATTGATTTTCTTTTTCCCTACCCTCAAGAAATATTTTAAATGTTTTTTGTTTTGTAAACTGGTCAGTCAGTTGAAAAAAATATGTTTTTGTTTGTTTGTTTTGTTTTCTGTAAGAGACGTCACATTTATGAGCGATAGTCTTTAAAGATGTGGACAGATGTAAGTCTGTCATATCAAACATCTTAACCTGACATTTTACTGTGAAGCACTTATGTTTCTTTGTATGTATACACGCATGCCCTCTGGGTTAGGATATATGCTGTAGTCATTTTTAAACAGGAATCTAATGTTGTAGGTACACATCTCCCCCTCGTCTTTTGATGGAAGAGCATGGGTTCAGAGTGACACCCTACCAAACGCTCTCTGCATCTCTGATGAGGTCAGGCCTCCCTGAGCAGGGTTCCCATCTCATTCCTGATTTCACAGCTTCTTGATTAACACAAAGGCAGTCCTCTGGAGAGTTGGTGGCCCACAGTAAATGCCCATCAGCCTCTGCATTAAGTTTGGAAACAGACAAGTCATGGAACAATATGGGGTCAATCCATCCACATAATAAACTCAGAGGAACAGGTTCTTTTTAATAAAATTGTTGTAGACAAATAAATTAAGTGGTATAAATCTGCATGTTTTATGCAAGTGCTTGTAATAAATGCTGCGTGTTGCTAATAAAACAATGAAAGAAAAACATTCAACCCTTTATGAAATGTTTTGATTAAATATTATATGACATGCTTTTTAAATATTTTAACAAATGGTATTTAAACTAGATATTTTGTTTCATTGCTTTTTCATTTTTGTAAGCAGTAGTGAGTATCATGCTTATTATAAACTAAGCAATTATTTCTCACCGTTCTCACGTGAGCGTGTACACTGTGTAAAAAACAGAACAATCAATTTTAAGAGATATTTTATTAATATGTAACCATGCAACGCTTGGGTTTTATCTCTGAAATTTTTACTAGCATCTGTTACTCTCGTAATATCACTCATAAAGTTATCACTGCACCAAAACCGAACTAGTTTGCTGTCAAACCTGTGTGCAAATGCCACATTTCACGGCGTCTCTCTGATTTAAAGTTCTAATTAAGAGAGCTTGGAGTGCAAATTAAGCGGAATTAGCTGTCAGCGAACTCACATTTAAATGAGTGATGCTAAGACCCTTCCGATGAGCGTTTAAATGATATAAATTGCCGCTTAAGTGCAGGACCTAATGTTTGTCTCGAAATTAATGTGACACAAGGCAGCAATGACAATCAAGGCTCTTCTCATACTCATTTGGACTCGTTTAGAGGCCTTTGTGCCCACACAGCTTTGAGCAAATGAACACAATTGCTGTTTTTTATGAGCAGTCATAAACGGAGGCCCTCCTTTGGCGGCTAATGAAGAGAGAAACAGCTTGCGTTTCAATGTTGTTATTATGACAGTCGAAGAACAATCATAGCTGCGAAAACAACAACACTCAGACGCCCCGCAGCATGTAGAGATGAGACTAAACAAAGGAGCAAAGATATCTCGTCCTGCTCATGTAAGATGATCTGCGTTGCTCCAGCGGTTCTGTCCTAGAAGCATATGCTTGTCATTTGTGTGTATTATGTCATTTGTGACTGTTGAAAGCACATTTTGACAGATCCCGTTACCCATGCTACTTGGTTACGTTCTCTGAGGAGCACTCCATGAGTTGTTGGGCATGTGAAAAAATAACTAATCTATCACAGTCTGGGGTGAATTCACATGGTCTTATTCACTAACTACCTTCAACTGAGCTTGTTTAGCCACATCTTGATGCAGCTTTTTTTGGGAGTGGTGTGTTTTCTTGGTCTTGTTGTGTCACTGAGTCTGAATCACATACGTTTTATCTTGTGTGTTTTATAGGCTCTGGAGAGTGAGTTTGTGTCCTGTCAGCTGCATCAGTGGATCGATCTGATATTCGGATACAAGCAGCAGGGACCTGAGGCCGTCAGAGCTCTCAATGTCTTCTACTACCTGACTTATGAAGGAGCAGTCAACCTCAGCTCCATATCTGACCCCATGCTCAGAGAGGTGAGTGTGTTTCGTTCTCTTACACAGACGCTACCGGTCAAACGTTTGGAGTAATTACGATGTTTTCAATGTTTTAGAAGTCTCTACTGCTCACCAAAGCTGGATTTATTTGATTAAAAACACAGTAAAAAATTTGAAATATTTTTACAAATTAAAATAACTATTTTCTATGTGGATATCTGTTAAACTGTAATATATTTCTGTGATCAAAGCTGAATTTTCAGCATCATTACTCCAGTCTTCAGTGTCACATGATCTTCAGAAATCATGCTTTCATGATGCTTCACTTAAATCATGTCTTTGCGAGTATCCTCAAAAAAATTGTCGGTTATGTCTTAAATTAAAGTAAACCGTTGAGAAAGAAATCAAATGTGTACCGTTATATTGGATGTATTGTCTCTGAAAGTGACCGCGCCTTGTATTGTTAATACAAGAAATTAAATGGGAGAAAATCACTCACTGCTCTTTACTGAATTACCTTGTAGTTTAAATAAGAATGAATCTATATTTAATTTATACATTGAAGACTGCACTGCTATTTACATTTGATTATTCAATTTCTGTACCTGGACACCTACAAACTTGAAAAATCTTAAACATTGTTTAATTTGTATATTTGTGCTATTTACACAATTTCAAACAGGGCCCATGGGTACAACCTGCACCGAGGCCCCGCAAACCCCAGCTACGGCCCTGCTGAAAATAATGCTCTATGAACCATTTATGTTAAATATGGTCTGAAAATCTATTGAAAGGTAGGGCTGTCAAAATGACTGAAAAACTAAATTCGAATTTTCTGCTTAAAAATGAAATAGAATTATATTCAAATTTAAAAGGCACAATTTCAGTTAGGGGGAAAAAAGCTTTTGGCTTTTCTCCTGAGGCCACAAGAGGGCGCATCGAGCAAAATATTGTGCATGTTTCTTCAAAGCGTAATAAAATAACACGACTATCTTTGAAAAAAAGTGCATAATGTTTATAAATCATATATAATTAATAAAGTTGCTTAAACAATTAGAAAAAAAACAGCACCATGCATGGATGTATAGTTTAATACAAAGGACCGAAACCCAATCACAAAGAGTAGGCTACTTTCTTCATTTAAAAACATGAGATACAGTCATAACGTCTTTAGACATGTTTTTAAAAGTTGAACTTGCATTAATTTTACATGGCTTTCTAAACATGCGGCTCTCTGCGAGACACGAGCGCAACGCTGATAGATGCCACGCAAGAAAATGTGATAAATATGCGTTCTGTGTGAACGGCTTGGTTTCAGTTTTGACGTAAACAACATCTTCTCCACACTGATGCTCTCGTTTTCCGCAATATATGAATGAACAATGTAGTGGCTTCAACTGGATAGGCTAACAAAAGCATTCAAATGCAATCAATGACACATACATCGTCATCACATCTCGTGCGCCACTGATAACTAAGGCTGGCTGACGCAGACCTTAAATGTGGATTTTTTTTTTTTTAATTAGACGAATATTCAAAATTCGAAAAAAAAAAAAATTTTGACAGCCCTACTGAGAGGTTTGGAAATTTGAGCCTGGAAAAGTATGGAATTTTGAAATGGAAAATGTGTAGGAACCCTGATATAAGATGCTGCCTATGTTGTGAGTAAGCAGAGAGATTTTGGAACAGAGCCATTGTAAACAGGTTTGAGCTTCAGCAGACACTTACAAAACATTTGTTTAGCTGTTACTGTGAGCCCTGAAGACGTATACAGACTCAGTAGGAATCTCTCTTTCGGTGTGTCCTTCTCTCTCTCTCTCTATCCCAAGCTTATTTATTATTCATCTCTTTCTCTCTGGGAACTGCCACACAGAAGCACAAACCAGTTCAGACAGTGTTAGCTCACTAACCTCTCCACTGACAGCTACAGATGTCCTTCAAACAGGTCCAGGGACTGCCTTTCCAGAGAACCAGCTCTTATTCAGAACTGGTTCAGTTTATAAAAATGATACTATGACTTTCCTGATGGATAACAGTTGTTGAACATCTACATTCTCTCAAGGGAATACTGTAATAAATATTTGGCATATTTCCTTGCTGCGCCACAGCAAAAAAAAATTGTTATTTTTTGCTTCAGTCTGAATTGAACGTGATAAAAGAAGCCCTGTTCAGACTGTAGAGGACAGTACACAAACAGTAGCATCCGGTGCTGGCATAAAAAACGTTTACCATTCAAGACTATCTGCTTTACATCATCCCAGACGAGCTGGATGTTGGTGTTGCTGACCCTGGCATGGTGGTCTGTAATCCATTATTTGAAGACACTGTTATTTGGTTGTTCCTTGCATTATTGTCCTGGATGTGAGCCTGACAAGACTCTGAGCCAGATTGCATCAAACCCTTGATATATAGAGACTTTAGTCAGAGTAGATGGTGTATTTCATAAGACACAAATGAAAACATTAATGTAAGAGGTGGAAGTGCTGCTGTTGTTGTACTGCTGTGTGCTTCGGTGTCCATCGTTCAGGCAGTGAAATGTGTTTGCACTAATTTCCAGTGGATGTTTTTAAATCAACGCCCAGGTTCACAACAGTAAATCATTCAATGCACTGGCCTTTCAGCCCTCACAGCCCCAATTTAATTCATCAAATTAGTTGGAAGGTGAACCGACTGCAGGGTTAAACTGTGTTCACATTTAGGTCTAGCAACCTATTCAAAACTACACTCCACACTTGTTATTTTTAATCAACTTAAGAGTAGGCGTGTGTGTGTGTGTGTGTGTGTGTGTGTGTGTGTGTGTGTGTGTGTGTGAGCGAGCGTGCGTACATACGGGGTATTTCCATCATTTAAATGTAAAGAGACCTCATCAGATACGCACTAGTGCTCCTAAAGAGATTGGCCTAGCATGGCTAGTGCCCGTATAACCTTAAGATCCTAGACCAGCAGATACAGCTTACAGATTTATCCCAGGGCAGCAGTTGGAAGCTTCAGGTAGTAGTTAACAACCTTCAACTGTATGCATATATCCACGCCTCTGCATTTGTATAGCGTGTCTGCTGCAGGGGATACACAGTGAAGCATTTGTGTGGCTGTGAATGTGTGCACTGGGGCCGTCGTTGGTGTCGGAGTGCTTCCAGTCTTCCTGCCCTTCATGCTCCGTGACTGAGGCTGATTAATGACTCAGCTCACCTTATTCCCGTCTAGGTGTTCTTGCTGTCCCTTTATAGCTTTTTCCTTCCTTCACTGCATGCTTCCTTTCTTTTATCTATTTCTTCATCCCTCTATCTGATGCAGATTCATTGCCTATCTGCTCCAGTCATCTCTCCAGTTCAGCCCATTACCCTGCACACTTCCGGTTTAATAAGCAGAGGTTAAATGGGATTCCTCACGCCTGACTGCCACTCCACCATTCACAGGCCATTAGGAGATCGATAAATCCACATGGCGTGTCTGCAATCAAACTGTAATAAACATGCTTGAGAAAAAAACGTTTAACAGGATCTAAGGCATAAGAGAAAAGAGAGAGAGAATTAATTGATCAGAACGGCACCAATGTTGAGTATGCATACACTTTTTGTGCAATATTTTAGGTCCGTCACGCTGTTTTTCCTTTTTTTTTCTCTCCTTTCCTATTTATTTATTTATTTATTAAATTATGCATTTACTCTTTACATGTAATTCCAAAACTGTATGACTTTCTTTCTTTGACCGAACGCAAAAGAGAAAAAAAAATTCAAGTAATTACAATGAAAGCAGACTGGAACTTTCAAGCTTTAGAATATTTGCCAAGAAAGGTACAGGTATTATAATGCGTGTGCTATTCCAAGTTTTTTGAAGCTAGATGACAGATGTGTGTGATGAAGATGGTGAAATTTAAATCATTATTCCAACCAGCTTTTAACCATTGCATCCAGATTATTGCATCCCATTATTACCTTGTCAAGTTGCTCGAGAAATCAAACGGTTCTTGAATGATCCGCTTAAATTCATTGAGAACCCATTTCAAAAGAACAGTTTGTTTGCAAATTGGACATCACACATGTACACATATTTACAAGATTTCCAGCGTATAATGAATTAAAAGTGAAATATTCACCGTTTGTGTTCTATGGAAGTCAGTCAGTAATTAAATTAAATTACACGAGTTATCTCATGTACAGAGGTCACCGAATTTGTGAGTAGGCAATTAGGAGAACAGTGATGACGAGAAAGAGAGCAAATGTTAGATTATTTTCAATACGACCCCTCAAGTTTTGCTTTGCCAGTATGCACAATTTTTGAAGTCAGTACAGAATTATGACTAATGTTGATATGGAGTGATGTAAAAGTCACGAGTTCTAATAGGACCGTGCAGACTGAGGTCACATTGCAACAAGTCAGACCTGTATCTGATTTAGGGCTACAAATGGAAGTGGCCCAAATCAGAAGTGAAAAGATCAGATTCCATGTGGTTATATAGTGTTTACACGGTTAGGAAAAAACAGATATGAGTCACATATGAGCAAAAGAATCAGATTTGGTTCACGTTCACGTGAATTCTGAACATAGCCAATTTGCTGTGCAACACTATTATGCTACAAAAAAATCTAGCATATGGCCACAAAAAAAAAAATTATGGCCGGTACATTTTCTCATTTCAGTCACTATTGGCAGGTGTGGCAAAAAGTCAGTTTTGGAGACTGACTGCACATCATGGCCAGGTTTGTAGAGCTAAATTAGAAAAATAAACGCAGAGGGTGTAGTTTAGCGTGGCTCTTAGAACAGCATGCCTGTAAGTTTGACTGGAAACAGCAGGTTTGGCACCAGCTCTGGATCTTCTCAGATGGGGTTGTGGGGAAGCCAACTGCTGGGTTCTGGTTCTAGTTTTAGTTTTGCATCTTGTATATCAGGTCTGGTTTGGGCAGGACTGGAATTTGTCAGTCTGAGCAGCTGAGTTTGGGTTTTTTGCGTCTCTATGTGTGTAGAGTATGGAGCGAGTGGAATGTCTCATGGCAGATTAGGGTCACTCAGGAGACTGGGCCATGTTTACTCAGACGATGATTACTTCCTGTCTTTGCCCTGCCACCACAAAAAAAAAAGAACATGACAGGCACAAAGGGTTCCCTTTGCACATGAAATAAACACGTACACAGTCCTTTTCCTCCAATCAAGCCCACTTTTACTCCAGTCCGATACTAATCTGACCTTTAAAAGGCTTACGTTTAAAGAGAAACCCTTCCCCCAAAACCTCTTTTAAGTATTCATTGGGACCTCATTATGCAAAATAAGAAAATTTGGTCACAGCTTGTTGTACAGCTAAATTGCCTTGTCAAGGGTTAGAGTAAATCAGGTGACTCATGGAGCATGACTGTGTGTGTGTGTGTGTGTGTGTGCGTACATACGGGGTATTTCCATCATTTAAATGTGTAGAATGTAAAGAGACCTCATCAGATACGCACTAGTGCTCCTAAAGAGATTGGCCCCTCTAGCATGGCTAGTGCCCGTATAACCATCTCTCCTCATTGGCTGGGCGCTCTGACCTGAGAACTGCCTCGTTCTTCTGTGGTAGTAAATGTCAGGAGAGGATTTAATGAAGATGGGTCAGGTGCCTGGGCAAGATGCATCCACATATTAACTTAAACAAACCGTCCCAATGTGACACGCTCGACCTTCATCCTGTTTGCGGTGCCAGATTCTATGCCACATTGCTGAATCACATTAGTGACCTGTTTGAGATCTCTGTGCATGTTTGTGAAACAGTGTTTGGGATTGAATGGAGTGGATGAAAATGTAGAAAATTCTTTATTCTTATGTAAAGTTGTATTTTCGCATTTAGCTTGTAAGATGTGCACATTTAAATGGTTGTGAGAGACAGAAGTACAGACTGTTTAAAATGTTGTACTGTCTTAAGGTCTGTACAATTTCAAAGATGCATTTACAGGAGGGACTTTTGTTTTGAAAAGATATATAGTGGAGTCTGAAAGTTTTAAGACCATGTGACACCAGTGAGATATATAATTATATTATCAGAAAAACTATTTGAATAAAAAGTTATAAATAAAAAGAACTGAAGAATTATGATAAGTTTCAGGATGTCTCATTATTTATGTCCACCTTTTGCTTTTGAGCAGCGCTCAAGCTCCAATATTTCACAATATTCCAGAAAGCATCTTATGTGATTCAGTGGATGTAAGTATATTGTGGCCGAAGACAGATAATCACCCTGGATGGATGACCAGTATTTTATTTTATTTTATTTTAATTGTTATTTTTATTTAAAATAGTTTTTTTTTTTTTTTTTTTTTTACATTTGTTAGTTTTTAATATTAATAAATGTTTTTCTTATTATTATTTTTTTCCTGATCCCTGATGATCTCTCGTGTAGACTTTTGGACCCCACTGTATTTATGTTCATTGCCTGAACAATTGACTGCTTTGCGCACAACAGTAAGAAAGGACTGTACCTTTATCCCACACATACTTGTTTTTGTTCCCCAAATTACATATGCCATCTACTCTTACTGAGGTCTATGAAACTACATTATTGAAGTAAATGCCTTACATAAATAACGATCTGATTGAAAAAGACTGAAAGATCTCATACTGAATAGCTAACGTAATGCGGTTTTGCCAAACACCAAAGACTTGGTCAAGAAATGAAGACTTGATGCCACACAGAGTGTCAAATTCCATTGCTTTTGAGCAGAAATCAACCAGTCATATAATTGAAACGAGGTGTCTTCCCTTGCGTGGCCTCTTCTGAACCCCGCTTCTTTAGAATGGTATTTCCAGACACAGTAGTCCTGTCATCTGTGTTCCATCAATGCCTCTAATGAGATCACTAGTGGATTTACACTATATAAAGAAGAGTTTGTGTGCTGCAGTCTATTGTTACCAGCAGAGTGGGCCGAACCAGATCAAACGAAGAAAGATAGATGAAGAGCAGAATAACAGTTAGAAACAGACGGAAAGGATTGATGGAAAGAAGTGCAGTCTGAACAGAGTGGAAAAAGAGAGAGGTGGAAGAGTGAAGAAATACAATGAGAGGGACATGGAAAGCCTCCTGACTTCCTGATGCTTTCACGAATACAGTGTTTTTAATGCACTTAGAATCAAGGATTTGTAGCATCATCGGATATAGATGGATGGGTGGATGGATATATAGACTCTTTTTATGGTCAAGATCCTCTCTCTAGTGCACACACACACTTTTCTCTGCTTTAACACACTCTTGCACACAGAAGTGCACATAAATCCAGCTGCTAGATAGCCTTTTCCCATTATTATGATCATTATTCCCACCACTTTCCTTTTTTAATTTTTTTTCCACACACACACACATTACTTTGAGTCTTTATGAGCTGATATTGTCCAGGGCAAGTTAGCCACTGTCTGAAGGTGACGTTTATAGTCCTATATCTCTTCATTAGTGCCACCAAACCTACATAACCCTGACTCTCTGTCCTCCTCAGGCTGTGGAGTCTCAAATCAGAAGTTTTGGACAGACACCCTGCCAGCTGCTGATCGAGCCCCACCCGCCACGCAGCTCTGCCATGCAGGTGGTGAGTGACACACACACACACACACTCACTCATACTCACACACACACACTCTCTCACACACACACACACACACACACACACTC